TCTTTCCACCTTTCTGTGGAAAGACCTCTTGAAATGCTTATGTTTATAAGGTCTTTCCACCTTTCTGTGGAAAGACCTATTGAAATGCTTATGTTTATTATTATTCTATTTCTCACCTTAGCTTTTGAAACCGTAAGACTTATCGAAAAACGTTATAGTTCATGATACTGTATATTAAAATTTATTCCTAAAAACGACCCCCTATGTTAGAACTTTGACCTTTACGCAGTTATTGCCCCTTTCACTGTAAAGTTTGTTATCACTACTCCTCAAAAACCGTAAACAGTAGAAATACAAAACCTTCACCAATGTCTTCAATTACTTTAGGAGACTTTTCAGTTTATTCATTGCAAAAGTTTTTTTTTGACCCCATCAATGAGTTACTGCCCCTGAAAGTTTATAAATTTTATAAAAAATTAAAAAAATTTTAAAACGAGAAGTCATAGAGACATTAAAACAACTGCATAAGATTCATTGAGCTTTGACCTTCAATTCATTTTAAGGTCAAAGGTCAAGGTCATTCCAATAATGAGTAATAAATTTCTTTTAATAACTCTTATATCCTTAAACATATACTTTCTATCTTCTGTCTGCAAAATGCCCTCTTAAAACTCTCTCGAAGATTTCATTCTTGTCCCCTAAGATTGACGCTTTCAAAAGTTATTGCCCCTTGTGCTACTCCTCCTAACCGTAAACTGTAGAGACACGAAACCTTCACTAGTGTCTTAAGGGTCCTTATGCACAACTTCAATCTATTCAGTGCGAAAAAATCTTATGACCCCTTATATGAGTTATCACCCTTTTACAACTTTGCACTTACTACTAAGCCTCATAACTTTAAATGTATAAGCGGTAGAGACATGGGACCAACTCATAAGATTCACTGACCTTTGACCTTCAATATTTTCCCGAAGTCAAAGGTCAAGGTCATTCCAGAAATGAGAAATTAAGCTCTTTTTATATATCTTTTGTCTTTCAACATATACTTAATGTCTTTAAATCATTAATAAGTACTTTTAATACTATTTCAAATATTTCATTCTTGTCCCTTAAGATTTACCCTTTTAAAAGTTATTGCCCCTTGTGCGTAAAACCTTGTTATCGCTACTCCTCCGAAACCGTAGACCGTAGAGAAACCAAACCTTCACTAATGTCCTAAGGGTCTTTAGACATAACTTCACTGAATAAGTGGGAAAGGATCTGATGAGCCCTTATATGAGTTATTACCCTTTAATGTCTTTGTACTTACTATTAAACCTTATAACTTGAAAACTATAAGTGGTAGAAGCATGATGTCAATTGCATTGTGGCCCTTGACCTTTGACCTTGAATATTTTCAAGGTCATTTCATTTTTTTTTAATTTTCATTTCCTCTAACCTTTAAGACAATTTTGGTTTCTTATTCGTGGAAATTAATTTTATGGAGCCAGATATAAAACAAAGTTGAAATTCAAAGAAGGTGGAAAGACCTCTTATTGGTCATTCCAAAAATGAGAAATTAAGCATTTTTTATATCTTTTTTGTCTTTTAACATACACAATCTATATTAGCATCTTTAATATGTACACTAAAAACTATTTCAAAGATTTCATACTTGTCCCTTAAGATTGGCCCTATTAAAAGTTATCGCCCTTTGTGCAAAAAATCGTGTTTTTGCGACGTAACCGGAAATTGCAGAGATATTACACCTTCACTAATGTGTTAAGGGACTTTAGGCACAACATTTATATCCCAGTGCGAAAGGTTCTGATGACGCCTTAAATGAGTTATTGCCCTTTAATGCTTTTGTGCTTACTATTAAACCTTATAACTTGAAAACTATAAGTCATAGAGGCATGCAGTTGTTTGCATTGTGAACCTTGACCTTTGACCTTGAATATCATTTGAAGGCCAAAGGTCAAGGTCATTTCCAAATTTTTAAAATTATTTTTTTTTCATCTTTTAAGCCATTTCTGGTTTCTTTTTAATGAAATTTAAATTTGAAGAGATAAATATTAAATGTAATTGAAATTCAAAGAAGGTGAAAAGACCTCTAATTGTTCGAGAACAATTAGTCTACTAGTTTTTTAAAATTATTTTTCCGCTACAGACATTTGAACCGAAAGACTTATCGAAAAACTTTTTAGTTCATGATACTGGACATTAAAACTTATTTCGAAAAACAACCCAACATATATGACCTATGACCCCTTTCGGAGTTCTTGCCCTTTGTACAAAAAACCTTGTTATAATTACTCCTCCGAAACCGTAAAACATAGAGGTATGAAACCTTTACCAATGTCTTCTACTACTGGAGGGGACTCTGAAATCTATTCATTGCGAAAGTCTTCGGTGACCCTTTCAATGAGTTATAGCCCCTGAAACTTTTTGAATTTTACAAATAATTCAAAAAATTTAAAACGATAAGTTGTAGAGACATGGGACCAACTGCACAAGATTTATTGACCTTTGATCATGAAATTAATGCAAAGGTCAAAGGTCAAGGTCATAGGAAAAACGAGAAATTCAGCCTTTTTTATATCTCTAATGTCTTTTAACATATACTAAATGTCTTTGCATCAAGAATATGTACTCTTTAAACTATTTCAAATATTTTATTCTTGTTCCCTAAGAATGGCCCTTTCAAAAGTTATTGCTTTTATGCGAAAAACATTGTTATCGCTATTACTTCAAAACCGTAGTTGGTAGAGGCATGAAACCTTCACTAATATCTTGAGGGTCTTTAGGCACACCTTCATTGTATCAGGGCGAAAGGAACTGATGACCCCTTATATGTGTTATTGCCCTTAAACTTCTTTGCTTATAATATTAAACGTTATAACTTCAGAACTAAAAGCCATAGAGGCATGGGGTCAATTGCAATGTGACTCTTGACCTTTGACCTTGAAAATTTTTTTCAAGGTCAAATGTCAAGGTCATTCCTAAACTGTTAATTTTCTCATTTTTCTAACCTTCAAGCCACTTTTGGTTACTTTTTCATGGTATATAATTTTAAAGTTTTTAAAAAGAGTTAGATATTACAGATGTAAGGAAAATTGAACTGAAAAGAAGGTGGAAAGGTGGAAAGACCTCTTATTGTTCTGTGAACAATAAGTCTCCTAGTTATTATTTTTCCGCTATGGACTTTTGATCCAAAAGACTTAACGAAAAACTTTTGTGTTACTTGACACCAAAAGATATTTCGAATAGCAACCCAACGTAAATGACCTATGACTCCTTTTGAAGTTCTCGCCCCTTGTACGTAAAACATTGTTATCGCTACTCCTTCGAAACCGTAAACCGTAGAAATATGAAACCTTCACTAAAGTCTTCAACTAATTTAGTAGACTCTGGAATCTATTCATTGCCAAAGTATTCGTACACCCCTTCAATGAGTTATTGCCCCTGAAACTTTTTTAATTTTAGAAATAATTAAAAATTTTCAAAATGAGAAGAGATAGAGACATGGGACTAACTGCATAAGATTCATTGAACTTTGATCATGAAATAAATGCAAAGGTCGAAGGTAAAGGTCATTCCAAAATTGAGAAATTAAGCTCTTTTTATATCTTTTTTGTCTATTAACATATACAAACTGTCTTAGCATCATAAACATGTACTCTTAAAACTATTTTAAAGATTTAATTTGTATTCCTTAAGATTGACCCTATGAAAAGTTAGCACCCTTTGTGCGAAAAAAAACCTTGTTATCGCTACTACTTCGAAACCGTAAACCATAGAAATATGAAACCCTCACTTAAGTCTTCAACTAATTGAGAGGACTCTGAAATCTATTCATTGCGAAAGTATTCGATCACCCCTTCAATGAGTGATGGCCCCTGAAACTTTTTTAATTTTACAAATAATTAAATATTTTCAAAACGTGAAGTCGTAGAGACATGGGACCAAATGCATAAGATTTATTGACCTTTGATCATGAAATTAATGTTAAGGTCAAAGGTCAAGGTCATTCTAAAAACGAGAAAATAAGCCTTTTTAATGTCTCTCTTGTCTGTTTACATATACTAAATGTCTTTGCATTTATAATATGTACTCTTAAAACTTTTTCAAAGATTTCATTCTTGTTCCCTAAGATTGACCCTTTTAAAAGTTATTGCTCCTTATGCGAAAAACCTTGTTATTGCTACTTTTCCGAAGCTGTAAAGTGCAGAGACATGAAATCTTCACTAATGCCTTAAGAGACTTTAGGCACAACTTTCATGTTCCAGTGTGAAAGGATCTGATGACCCCTTATATGAGTTATTGCCCTTTAATGCATAAGCGCTTACTACTAAACCTTATAACTTTAAAGCTATAAGTCATATTGGCATGGGGTCATTGCAATGTGACCCTTGACCTTTGACTTTTAAGATTTCAGCAAGGTCAAACGTCAAGGTCATTTAAAAATTTAATTTTTTAATTTTTACATCTTTTAAGCCATTTCTGGTTTCTTTTAAATGAAATATAAGTATAAAGAGATAAATATTAAGTGAAATTGAAATTCAAAGAAGGTGAGAGACTTCTAATTGTTCGAGAACAATTAGTCTCCTAGTTAGTTATGTATTCTTGCCATTGTCTGAACTGCTATAATTTGTCAAATACACCGATTACATTTTTTACAATAAAAGTCAATGCTCTCTCATACATAACATTTATAATGGAATACAGAGGTTTGCCCTCATACATTTTTCAATAAAGTAAATTCTACTACATACAGTGTATTAAACGACAAAAGGTACTTTAATGAACATTCTGACCCCCAAAACCATCTATAATATGTATTTGGAACGGAGTGAAAATACATAATCGAGTTTTTGCCTGAAAATTTATTTACTCGTAATAGTCTTTAATTCTCAAAAAAAAAAAAATCAAAATTTCCCCTTTCTTACTTTTAATGCACAATAAAAAAAACTGTCATATTAATTGAAAACTCATTATAACAAATTAAATATATCTCTTTTTGTAAATGAAGATTGTCACCATTAATTGCGAGATAATTATTTATATGGATAAAACCTTACATTTGTATGCTTCATTTGATTTGTAGAATATTGGACATGTTTTGCATTCAGTGTTGTGGTTTGCTTGAACCCTTTTTCCGAGGAAGCTGTATTCTAAACAATGCCCTTTGAAGAGAAGACAGAGAAATCTGTGTGAAATTAAAGCAGGTAATTAGGGTATTCATTTTATTTTATCAGTATCTGAAGTATTAGACTTTTCTCTTACCAAAAACAATTAATGTCACCGGCACACAAACTTCTAAAGTAGCATTTTCATAGTGGTTAGGAACGCAGTGATAAACCAATTTCTCTTTACATCCTTTACTGTATTGACTGCAGTTTTTGTTCTCCGCTGCTAGAAACCACTCATTTTTATTGTGGGGACATGTAGGCACATACTTAATAGTTTCTTGTATCATCTGACAAGATGACTGCTTGAAAGAAATATAATTATACATGTATAAATGCAAAACATTCATTTGTTACAAAAATTAATACTTTTACATTTTCATACATCTATAATATAGGGTTATTGAACTTATACTGGTGAATATTGGCATGAGTTGGCTGTTCAAATGCATAAGCTTGCGAGGTTTAAATGGGTCTAATACGCACTAACTTTTTATTGAATAATTTCATTTTGTGTGAAAAATAAGCACATCTTCCCTAGATGCCACTTCATTTCGTTAATATAGCTCTGAGAATCTGACCAGACGACTTTTTTTGTTTACAACGGGGCGTTCGATATTGAACGCTCGTATTCGGAATGTTTCGGATATACTCGTGTACGTAATGCAAAGTCAGCGTTCACTTAAACGTCAAGATATTGAAAGCTAAAATTCTCTAGATTTTTGGTAGTATTTTATTAGAGACTATTTATTACCTATATAATAATAGTTTTTATTACCTCGCTCAGCAATACATCCTTGAAACCAAGAAGAAAAGATATCAGGAACAAATGCATTCTCTAATCTAATGCACACATAAGAGATTCCGTTGACTGGTTTCCTACAAATAGACAGCAATACATTTATTTGACCGCTGCGGCATATAAACTTAAAATTGGTCCGATAAAGTCATCCTGATGCAATACAGGTTCATCTTTTAGAAAGATAAGGATTAAAAATGCTTAATAAAGAATTATTTTTTTCTAATAAATTCTTTCGATCAATCGAAATCAAGCCAAACTTGCAAACCTAGGCAAGAGTTTTGTTCTTCATTGTTAATATGTCGTTGAAATGACTTCATATATATATATATAAAGATAACGGAGACGTAGAACACAAGACTGCAGTATATCATTCTTTGTTTGAGTAGATCCGCCACATGTAGATATGTATTTGTTATTGATAAAAAAAGCTTCCTACTGACCAATTTTAACTACAAACTCGATCATGTTTGAAACCTAACGCCACACTCCATGCGTGTGGGCATATTGTTTGGTAAAGCTACAGACTTTCGAAGACGAAGATGAACCGTAATAGAAATCCAAATTTCAGAGATGTGGAGCTCTAAACTGTTGTAAGAAGTTGAGAAAAACAATGTTTTCCAAGTTATCGAACGTAACAATACAATATATAACTGCAAAAAAAGCGCATGGAACTCTGCGATAAAGTAAATGCATATTCCGCCAATGGACATACACGGACAGTCGACGAAGTTCGAATAAAGTGGAACTTACATGTCTGAAACTTAGAAAATGGTGTCTGGCAAAGAAAAGAGTAGCGACAGACGTACTTTCCACTGCTGATCCTGTAGGCGGTATTGTACGTTTCCACTGCTGATCCTGTAGGCGGTATTGTACGTTTCCACTGCTGATCCTGTAGGCGGTATTGCACGTTTCCACTGCTGGTCCTGTAGGCGGTATTGTAAGTTTCCACTGCTGGTCCTGTAGGCGGTATTGTACCTTTCCACTGCTGGTCCTGTAGGTGGTATTGTACCTTTCCACTGCTGGTCCTGTAGGCGGTATTGTACCTTTCCACTGCTGGTCCTGTAGGCGGTATTGTACCTTTCCACTGCTGGTCCTGTAGGCGGTATTGTACCTTTCCACTGCTGATCCTGTAGGCGGTATTGTACCTTTCCACTGCTGATCCTGTAGGCGGTATTGTACGTTTCCACTGCTGGTCCTTTAGGCGGTATTGTACCTTTCCACTGCTGATCCTGTAGGCGGTATTGTACCATTCCACTGCTGATCCTGTAGGTCGTATTGTACCTTTCCACTGCTGATCCTGTAGGCGGTATTGTACGTTTCCACTGCTGGTCCTGTAGGCGGTATTGTACCTTTCCACTGCTGATCCTGTAGACGGTATAGTACCTTTCCACTGTTGATGTTGTAGGCTGAATCACAAGAATCAAAAGCCATGGACATCAAATACTCCTTGAGAATTGATTGAATTATACTTCTTTCAATTAGCGAACAAACGTTCATTAACTGAACGGAATTTAATTATAAAATGAGTGCAGCCTATTGCACCGATAACATCAGGAAAATCTGCAATATTATGAAAGCTTTGCATAACTTTTAAAAGTTCAATTCAAGAGGTTGGCATTTTTATATACTCTGGTGCTTTTCTTTTCAAGCAGTTGGAACCATCCTTACTTAGGACACAATGGGGCGCGATATTCTGTGAACGGTCTGAAAAGGGCTGTTATGGCCTGAAAATTCCCTGTTGCAACGGCAATGTAGGTCGATGAAGGATGGATGCTAAATTCCCTGCAAAAGCTTTTGATCAAATGCTGTGGGAATCTGTATTTACAGATTATCGCAGCGTCGTCAAAATAATCTAGCGGGTTGTCAATGTCTCTGAATACTCGCACACGGCCTAAACGATATCTTTATAACAAGTTATGGTAAACGACAGCATGTGAAGGAGTTCTAAGACAGTCTTAAAACACCTCATGTGGTGTCCTTAAGATAGGATAATTTTAAGACATGTCTTATCTCAGGACTCTTTCGGAAACCTGACATAAGACTTAAGATGTCTTAAGATTTTAGTCTGTGATCATCTTAGTCTTAAGATACCTTCCTAAACATACCCGCAGTTTTCTTATTGTAATCCATTTTCAGAGGTATTTGTCAAATGTTTACTTTAGGAAATGCATTCTTTTACATTATGAAAATAAAAAAGAATTCGTAAAAATGAAAAAAAAGATACTTTAACATATAAATGAAAAGACATCAACTTTGATTTTGATCTTCCACTTAAGAAACATGAACTTCACGGGAAATGATTCATTTTACCATTATGAATTATCTAGTCCCAAAACATTTCCAAACATTATTCAGAGAGAAAATATACTGTTGTATTACAGACTTAGTTTACGGTAGAAATGCGTACATGTATATTAAAAATGGACATATACGTTTTCAATAAAAATTACCAATAATGAAAAGGTTTTGTTGGACACTCGGTTGTTGCTATTTTATAAGTAAATTCTTAATATACAGACGGTATAACACATTTCAATATTTTATCAATTTTAATTTTATGTTCATTATGTATTTTGATTTAATGCAGAAACGCTTGTCTAAGGATAAAATGGACCTTATCTTTCACTTAAACTATTATTTAAAGTTCTATCATTTTTTTTTTTTTTGCCTCCGTTTACTATTTGAATAAAAATAATGCTTGATTCAAGACAAACATCTTTTAAAGTTATGAATTACAAACTATATAAAATTTAAAAGGCTTCGTTTTCATATCAAATAAAGCACTAAAATTGGCTGTAACCATATTTTGTCCATTTAAGCTACACATACTATTTTGTTACAATATATTGTTTGTACTGTAACAATACATATCGAAAAAGATAGGAATCAGCTAATATGAAAGGATTTATATACGATTAAAATCATAAGGTCATTTGATTTGCAGATATGATTTTACCTGATGGAATCTTTCAGTAAGACAAACTGGCATTAGCACTACACATATAAATTTTTCTAAAAATCCTATTTAGGTTTGGAACTAATAGATTTCCATAACCTGGGACTTGTCCTATATGTATGTAGGTCTTCCTTTCTTTCTCCTTTTTCATGTTTCGTAATTCTTATAAATATACCGGTAACCAAGACACAAAAGTCTTATCATGAAAAATATTTAAGGTCATTTTTTAATGTCTGTAACATAAAATAAATCTGTCAATCTCAAAAGCTGATTCATCTCTTCACATTGTCAATTATTATAACTAGTGTTAGTTAAATACGTAATAAATGGAGAATCTCGGAGGATGCCAAAATACTATATTAATCAGATTGGCAATAGGCAGGCATTTAAAAGAAACCTTAAATAGGTATTTGCTGAGTCTCAAAGCAAGATTATCTACATAATTCACAATTCTTTTAAACTGACAACTATCGGAACGCAGAGAGCAATGCTTTAAATGAGACAATATAACAAATGCAATAAATAGGGTCAATTAACCTAGCCACAGTGTTCTGAAGATTCTTTGTAAAGATTTTCTCTTCTCTATTCAAATGCAAAAATCATACACAAAATCATATCTGTTAATCAAAACTAGCTCTTGCTCCACCGATGCTTTTGTCAAAAGTTATGATTGTATAATTCTGATAGTCTATTTTATCTCCAATCTTATCACACTAATCACAGTTTGAAAAGAACAATTCTACAGAAAATAAAACTATTTACATCTCATCCTAATTTTTCGTCCCGTTTCTCTATAATTGTAATTAAAATTATTTGATTTTGTTTGACATAACATAATATCAATTTATGATATACCTTATCGATAATTGGTATTATTTGAACAGATATGAATGTTCACCAAAATGGGACATCAACATGAGTAATTGTTGACAACCTTTCTCCAGGGGAAATTTGCAATTCTCTAATATGTTTGATCCCCCTCTGTTGCATCAATTTTTCAAGGTGGGGAAAGAGTTACTGGTATTTCAAATACAGTCTTCATTCTATTTTATTATATTTCTTATTTTCCTTATTACTGCAATATCTAGACCATGCAGCCATAAATTTCAAAAACATGTTTAACTAAGATTCTTCAAAATGGGCCCTGTCTTGTCCCAGATTAGAGTACATACTTTAAATCCCCGAGGATATTTCATATTTAAAAAATGACTCACCGTGACCTACCTGAGATAAAGTTTCCTCTATGTATTCAAATTACAATTTAAACTTGTCTTAAATAACTATACATGTCATCTGAATTTTGTATGAAAGTACCTAGTCATTGCTATGTTATGGTGATTTAAATAAACTGTACCATGGCAAATTTTCAAGTCTCTATGTTAATGAAACCCTATATTCAAGTGCTAAACATAAAAAATCTTTTCTTGCGGTGATATACCCGGTAACCGAGACTAAAATGAGCAAAACAAAGTCGTATTAAAAAAATAATTTAAAGGTACACAAAAGAGGAAGATCATGTCTTTTCTACTTTTCAGCTACCTTTCAATGTTAACGTTAAAAGTTTGATCTCAATATCTCTCAAGTGACTTTATAATACTGTCTTTATTATATTTAATAATTTTTTTTCAGAATTATTATTTCAATGCTCCTTGAATAATAAATTCAGAAATGTATTTTATGTTTTCGATTTTCAAGTTCGAATTCATAGATGTCTTTACACATCGGTTTTAATTTTGAAAACCTGAAGGCAGAAAACGGTATTTATTAAGGTTGTTTTATTTTTAACGCTAACTACTTCAATTATATGATACGATTTTTTTTGTATCAATCCTAATTTCACTGACACTTTTAATCCAGCCAATAAGATGCATGTATCCTTAATTAGAAATTTTAAAAATTAATAAATTGTATAAAAAAATTTAAATAGTTGAAAAAAAAAATATTCTCGTTCTAAAAATACTTACAAGCAGAAAAGAACATCCTTAGTTAATGCAGAAAAATTTACATTTACCCTAAATTAAGGAAGACTTCTTGGTCTTTTAAGGAATTATTACCTTGGTTTTCACAGAATCATTCTATCTAAAAAGTCCCATTCTTGGAAACATTTTTTTTTTACC